CAATAAACAATCTGAAGCTGTTAATAATCTTTGTCTCTTCACTGTCTATCGTGATGTTGCGAATCGGTCCAGTGGTAAGAATATTAATTTTCTTGATGGCGAGCTCCATTCCATATTGAAGGCCACAGTCCTTGACATTCTGGAGCAAATACCTCAGGTCTTCTTCAGTTTCAGCAAGCAAGATTGTGTCATCTGCAAAATGCAGATTAATGTGTCTCCTTTAAATCCTGATGCCCCACCCCTCCTCATAGAGCCCAGCCTCCTGGATGATCTGTTCTGCATATAGATTGAAAAGGTATGGAGATAAGATGTTTCCTTGCAAGTAGCTAAGAGAATACGCCATCCCCTTTTCCTTATGACTCAGGATGAAGGCTCTCTCAGGGAGGAGTGATAGGGAATGGCAAAGGACACACTGACAAAGAAGATTAATCAGAACTGGCTTTGACAAGCACTGTGGCATTTGGACAAGAACAAACTGGGAGGAGGGTAGAGAGAATAGTGCAACAATGAATGAGTGGAAGCCCAAAATCTCTGTAAATGTTTATGAAAATTAATAAAATATAATTATAGAAAAAAAATAAAATGCAAAAGAATTTTAAAAAAAAAGATGTTTCCTTGCCATATACCTTTCCTTATTTTGAACCACGCAGTGTATATTTTACATAGTTCTGAGTTTATTGAATTTGAACATTTATAAAAACCTTTTCATTTTTATAAAATGTCTTCTTTGTTTATTGTATGCATAGATATTTTTGTGTTCTCTGTGTATACATTTAAAGCTGTTGATTGTAGTGTTTAGTTATGTGAGAGAAAAAAGGACTCTTCTATGGAAATAGATTTTCTTATATGTTTTAGAATCAGAAGGTGTCTTTTTAAGTTCTAATATAACATTAAATATAGAGTCAATTAATATTCCCCACTATAATATGTCATGAATTGTATATAGGCCTTATAGGTTAAATTTATACTTAATCAGACATTTTGAACCTAAGTTGTATTACTAACAATTGCTAACTTCAATATTTCAGATGAAATTCTCAATTTTTCCCCTTAAAATATTAGTGGAATTTTTAGTTACAAATGTAATTAATCTCAATAGTATGGCCAAAAATGCCCTGATAGGTAATGTGGAAAATATCTCTGGAGACTGAACTCACCAATCCCACAAGGTTCATCAGAGATATAACCACTCTATGTCTTTCAGAAACTCATCACAGGGTTATAAAGAGTTTAGATGCAGAATTGATTTGTAATTTAAAGGTAAGGTTATGACTCGGTAAGAATTGACATCTGACATTATCTAAAGACAGAACTGAGATCCTACTTTTTTATTTTAGGCCCGGTATATAGTACAAATTATTTTCTATGTTTGGGAAACTAAACGCCATGATTAAGTTATGAGGTATTATCTTTGCTTGTTTAATACTTTCAATGGCATAATTATATGTCTCTGAAATTAGAGATATATTAATTGGCAACCATGGCTCTGCAAGCCAATAAACTAATTTTGCTTACTGGTAGATTAAACATGCCTTAGCCTAACATTTCTTTTCAGATAGCTGTATTTGTAAAACATGTTTGTCGATATGTAATAAAAAATCAAAATTTTTATGGAAATATTTATTAGAATATGAGAAAAGGAAATTTTCCCAAATATAATGCTATTTGGGCTTGATATAAAATCAATCATTGAGTGAGGGGAAAATGTGAAGATACAAATCGGAAAGTTCCTAACACATTTCAAATTCAAATTCACAGCTGTGCTATAGGTTCCTACTTGAAAGTTACCTCCATTGGGTTTCCAAGGCTATCAACCATAACGGAATGAAATGGATCATCTTTATCATCCTCCAAAATGTCTATACACACACATTCATATACTCATATATATATACACATACATATGTATATACACATATATATGCATATATGTATATACACACACACATATATATGAAAT